GTACTAACATTCAAATGGCACTGTAGAGTCAAGCTTCCCATTCTAGGAAGGGTGCTGGACCATAACAACATCATGGTGGCTTCAGTGAGGGAGGTGAGGCTAAATTTATGACCAGCAAACATGCCAAACCCATGACAAAATGTGATATCTCTGACACTAGAAGTCACAGACTTCACCTGCAATGGCTGTGCTGGGTTCGTCTAAACTCTTTTAAAGAGTCAAACTCACATCAGTGATAGAATATGAAATCATAACAGAGGTTTCATGCAAAAACAAGTTGGTTTTTAAGACCATTCTTACTCCACTTTATTTCTCATGAATATATGTACTTTTAATATTTTTATCCGACATGTGTACTTTGGAGATTTGGAAACTCAGACAGCAAACTCTATATGCTTCGGAAAATAAATATAGAACAATTTAATACCATTCGGGTAATTATGGACTCTCCGTGGTTTATTTTACTTGAGTGGCTTTCAGTTTGAGGATCCAGTGTTTAAAAAGTATCCAGACAGACGGATAGATGGGGTCCTTACTTCCTGATGTCACACCGATCATATTACTCTGCTGATGCTGCTGTGATAACAGCGCTGGAAACCTTTACAGTACTGCGAGTATCAGTAACAAATTTCCAGTCACAACCTCAGGCTTAAAATATGCACGATAGCGTCTGATGCTATTTGTTTGCCTAATCTTATTGGTTGTTTGTGTTGAGCCGGCCCACACCTGTTTATTAGCTCCGCCCACCGAAATAACTTCTATTCGTTTTACCCGTCCAGACGTCATTCTAGTTAAGCCGCGGTTTGTAAGGTTGTGCTCGCATATCTTTGTATCTATTTATTATTTTTTTAAAGATAAGTTTTCGCTATATTATTTATGAAGGATGAAAGTGTCAGGTTTACTTCAGACTCGGACGTGATTGAAAATCCTTAAAAATCCACTGCCACGAGAGTTTACACACAGAAGGACTTATTTACCCCAAGAGATGGGAAAATGGCACTTATCCATGGTAGGTCAAATGAACTATCGCTAATTCCAAATCTGCTTTCTGGCATGCATTAGTTATAAGTTAACACATGAATCTGACTGCAGCTTTTTCATTCTTGGTTGTTTTCATTTGTTGTCAGCTTCATGTGAACTTAATCGTGATTCTATGGTGTGCAGGGAAAATATAAAAGTTTCATTCACTGTTGAGTATGCGCTGGTGTCACAATGCTTTGCACACACTGGTTTCTGTCATGTGGTGTCAGGTATTTTAAAGAGTGCTCTGCTCCTATTGTCATGCATGCACAAAATAACGCTTGTTTACCAGCGGGATCAGCGAGCCTCATTTCAGGTCTGTGAGTATTAGAAGATGAGGTGACACCCAGGTCTAATGGCAAATTTGAGATTGTTTGCCTGTGGGGTTTGGAACCCAGTTCCTGTCTAATGTCTGTGGCTTTGTATAACACCATCTATTTGGGGTTATAGTTATTAGTTTGAAGGGCTGCTGGATCAGTTTAAGCTAGATCAAATAAGTATTGTTGACTTTTCTGCATTTATAATTATTTGTGCTTTAAGAGTTGCTCTGCAGTTTCACTGACTGATCTCACATGTCTTCGTTAGCTTATATAATTAATAATTCAGCTGATCCAACAGTGGTCTGTTTAAATTCCTTTTAAAGTCAGAGTGATAAGATTTTATGCTCTTAAAAATCATCATTGTTGTTTGACTATCAAAGATGTTATAATGTTGTTGTTTGTCATTAATATGACTAAATTACAAAATTCCAATCTAGAGGCATCTGGAGTTTTCTCAGATCTGATGTTAAAATAAGTTTTAAGTTAATCTTTCCATTACAAAATGTCATAATTTTGTGCCACACGTAAAAATAAACCAATGGCCCGTTTTTCCTTCCTATTCCTGACTATTTCTCTAAAGTTTTGGAGGAGGAAATATGAGGTTGTATCTAACTAAGAATAAAATAGACTTTCAAATTCCTCATCAAATTGTAGACAACTGTGTCAGGTGCAATGAATCATACCCATGTTTGTTGGCATAAACAAATACGTCAGTAAAAAAATGTTTTCTGTCATCGGTCACTAGGTGTGTGTTTCATCAGTGAGTTTAATCGAAGCAGAGTTCGATCTTTTTAAATAAAATTATGTAATTTGTTAAGTTCATTTTGAAACAATCACCTGCGTATTCCAAGGATTTACACAAATTTAGATCACATTTTTTTATTCTCTCTTATACACTGAATGAATTCTGGGGGCTCTGCAGTATCACAAAGACCAGAGCAGAACACAGGAAGAAATTTCATGTGCTAGATCCAGATTTGCCAGATCATTACCTGAATTTTCACCTGCAGGACCCGGTTCAGGAGTGGGGCGAAGAGGAGGAGGACGGGGCAGTGTTCGGGATCACACTACGCAGGGAACCTGTGCCGACCTCGACCATGGGAGAGCTTCCAATGAGCTTCGTCCAGTACCACACGGTGAAGGTGCGCAGGCTGAAGGCAGCTACCCTGGAGCGTCTGGTTACCCATCTACTGGACCCTGAGAAAAGGGAGTCCGACTTCATCCAAGTGTTCCTCTCCACCTACAGGGCCTTCACCTCCACCAGCACCCTCATTGAGCTGCTGTTTCAGAGGTGAGATTTTGTAGACTTGTGTTAACAGAAAGCATGAGGGTGCAGTCAGCTGGCGTGTAAGCCCGTATACGAGATCATTTTGCTGCTTGATTTAACATGTATAAATGTACACAGCTGGAGTCAGATGAAGGCCTTAATTTTTTGTGAAATGGACCATTTGAAAGACGAAATCAGTTAAGCCCTAATCGTCGCTCCTTATCAGAAGCCACACAGATAAGAAGGCTTTAATAATTGCCTTCTAACTTACTGACATTTATTTATTATTCCACTGTGTGCTGCTTTTAAAAAGGTCATCACTGCTTACAAATGAAAGTGGAGCGCATGCGTAATAACCAGGTTTACAACATGCCCAGTGCACAAATCAATTTCCAAAGGACAGAGCAGTTTAACAGCCTGTTTACATCGCCTCAGCAGGTTTCTATGACAGGTATTATCGTCATGAACTAAACAAAGCAGTCTCGAGCTTTATTCCATTGTGAAACGATCATGACTACACCCTCCACACCCAGCAACTATTTACAGTTACCTTATTGATTTTGCCTCGGGAAATACCTTCAGGAATCTTTTGCAAAGTACATATTTCGGAGTTGTGTATACACCAGTGTGTTAGGATGATAATAGAAATTATTCTACTCTCCTCCTAATTTATATTAGGAGGAAAATAGGATGTTCTAAAGTTATAAAACAAACACATCTCAAAGAAACTTTGATTTCTCTTTTCTTTCTAACTCTAACTTTGCTAATTACATCATGTATGGATCTGTGACCACTAGTGTGGAGTTCATATATTATTTGTCAAACAGTCGCCCTCATGACTGCAGTGCTGGTGGCAAAAGGTTTCCTGGGAAATTTCTTAGAAGCGATCACCATCAGAACAAACTCTGAATTGTGTTTTCCCTGTTTTGCCTTACAGGATTTTGTACAGAATGTGGCCTTTTGCTGCTGTTGTAAAAATCCTTAAAGAACTATATTTTAACTGCATAAGTTGGGTTGAATTAATTTACCCAACTTACACAGTCTTTGACTTGCTCCTGTGCCGTGACCACTAAGGTTCTTAAAGTTCTGTTTTGTTCCCTGCTTTCATGCAATAAAGGCACAGGATCCTGTTATAAAACTTCCTGCACATGCGCCAACGTGGCACCATTCTCCAGTTTTACTGCACGCATATCATTATTAAACACCATAGGGGGCATTTATCTGTTTACACTCTGTAACAAGGACACGGTGTGTCTGCAGGGAGTCAGAGTGTTGCAGGACATTTCCACAGGATGAACAGTTGTTAAGCTGCAACCCTGGGACTTTCCTCGTTTACAGGATTTATTCTGTCATCATTCGCTCACCATGTTGTCCTTTTCTGTGGTGATAATACATAATCGTGTCTCCCTTGCCGATTACAGAAATGACTCGGTCACAAACCTGGATAACTCGGTGAACGCGAACAGGTGAGTACAAAAAACAGTTACAAGTTTGTTTGTTTTTTAGTTTATCTGTTGTAAATTATGCACGTGTTCCTCAGATATCATCAAGTGTCATGTAAACTAACCTTGTGGAGTAAAATTAACAATCAATCAGTAATCATCATCTCCCATGAATCTCCTTTAGTACCTTGGTCCCAGTGATCCGGCTTTGGTTAGAGGAATACAGCGAAGACTTCAATGAGCCCCCTCAGTATCAGGCTCTCCGGACTTTGTGTGTCCACATGCAGCATCGGCTCTGCTTCAGATGTTTGGTTCATCATGCAGAGGGCCTGCTCAAGAGGCTCCAGGAACAAGGTAAAAAAAAAAAAAAAAAAAACCGGATACATAATGTCAGGCTAGGATAGATTTAACACGTGTGAATCAGTTTTTATCAGAAGAATTTAGTGTAACCTGATGTTCAAGACCTTATATCAACAATAAATCATTTAATTTACAGGTCCAGATTAAGCTAATAATCTAATCTTGGCTATTTATCTAAAAGAAGGAAGCTACCTGTGAGATACTTGTTTCAATGACCTCATTGGTCTGTTGATTTTTACAAGCTCATTTTTACAGCATCTGAAACAGTTCTCCTTATTTACAAATACCGCCGCAGGTTCACGAGTGTTTTCCTTCACGTGTGCATTGAGCTGCACGTTTTAATGTCATTTATGATTTGGCGTATTTGACAGATTGCGGCCAGCCTGCGTCAGAGCACAGCAGTGAATCACTGCAGCAGGTAGATGAAGCCGAGATGTCCACTAAGAATGAAGACAAATACAACTTTATGGACTTCCCTGTGAGGGAAGTGGCTGAGCAGCTGACCAGACTGGACGCTGTAGGTTTCGTTTTTATAAAAAATTGAAGTTCCGTGTTTCACGGTTGATTGTGGGAGGGTGTTTTTTTTTCTCATTAATTTTTTCCTGTCTTGTTACAATTTTTTCCCCCAGGACCTGTTTGTCAAAGTGGAGCCCTTCCACTGCCTGGGCTGCGTCTGGTCCCAACGTGACAAAAAAGAAAACCGAAACCTGGCACCAACGGTCCGCGCCACCATCTCCCAGTTTAACGCTGTCACCAACCGTGTCATCACCTCACTCCTCTGCACATCCCCGCACATCCCTTCCACTTCCTCTCCTGGCTTGTCACCTTCTTTGTCCTCTAACTTCCTGTACCCCTCCTCTGCTCCGAGCTCACCTGGCATCTTGCGCACCAGCCCTTGTCACAGAGCACGCATCATCGAGAGGTGGATCGCTGTTGCACAGGTTTGCATCACAAAATATTTAGAGATTAACAAAAAGTTTCCATCGAAAAACAAAATGAGGACACAAGAAAGACACGAACAATCTTATTGTATCTGTGCAGGAGTGCAGAGAGCTGAAGAACTTCTCTTCTTTAAGGGCCATCCTTTCAGCCCTGCAATCCAACGCTGTGTATCGCCTCAAAAAGACATGGGCTGCTGTCAGCAGGTCGGCAAATATTTCATTTATATTACAGGGTTGTTTCACTCAAAAAAAGAATATACTACTGCAGGAAAAAGAAATCTTTATGTAATAAATATTTTGGGTTTTCAGGGAAAGCATGGCCACCTTTGACCACCTTTGTGAGACTTTTCCTGATGAGAACTGTGTGCTGACCAACAGGGAGATCCTGGTGGAGGTAACTACATGTATTTTCTACACATGCACATGTGGGAGAACGTGGACTGAAGATGTGAGAAGAAAGCTGTTATTAGTACCAAGTGTTCTTGAAATAGTCAGAACTGTACTGCCTTCGGGGTATCTGTATCTTGAGCTCAGTCCTCAGAGAATCAAGGAATACAATAATGAATGCACTGCAGGAAGACATTACCAGGATTCTTCCTGGAATGTACAACAAGAGCCTTGTTTGACTTCTCATAAAACCTGCTTTACTCATATATGCGCCTCTTGGGTCTGTAATTACAGCTAGATGATGATAAATGTAAACCGTGGTAAATTAAAACCTGACAAACAAACATGGACAGAGAAACACCTTTTAAAAACTAGCCTAGAGAGTGTACTGCTACTTAAAATTCCAGCCACAAATACCAATACAGTCACATGAATTCTCACACAGCTCCGTGATCACATTTTCAAACTAAAAGGTTTCAAAGGAGGTCCTTAATCATTTCATAGAGAAGCTTCATAGAGAAGTCCTGCCAAGTGGCCTGTTATTGTTCATTAATTACTTTGTCCTTTTCGATGGTTGAGTCACATATTCTTCTGAATTTAATTCACAAGTCTAAAGGTGTGTCCAGTTCATTTACCACTTTGCTTTTTGTTCTGAGAGCCTTTCCCCGTGGAAAGAAACTGATACGAGTGTGTATTCAATGATACTGCTTTTATCAGTGACAAAGAGAAGCCCATTGTTCTTAGCTGACACTAATAAAACTGCAAATGAAAGTTACTCCCTGGGCATTTGTCCTACTCAGTGGTTATTAATATGTGGAGTGCACATGTCTAACACTCGTTTGCAAGTTTGCAAGAAGTACCCTCCCACAGCACTCTGTTAGGAGGCCCTCGACACTGACAGGAAGAATTATATAACATGCCTACTTTGTTTTCATCTCACATTACAAACCTGAATTTCCATTTTCCTGCAGGATGGGACTCACCCACACAGCAGTGGCATGCCGGCTGATAAATCACCCCGGCTCTGCTCGGAGTCCAGGCAGATGGTAAGAGGATACTCATCATCATTTCTGGTTCCTCAATTTTAGATTTCACCTAAAAAAAAAAAAAGTGAATCTGTCAACTAAGCAGGCTGGTAAAACTAAAAGAAAGAGGTCTGTTTTTTCCCTCATCATCAATTTAGCTTCCTTAAATATGACTTGTTCTCAATTTTAGTTCCCTGCTCAGTTTCTAGACATGTTGCTAAGTTCCACTTCTTGTATAATAGAAATATATTTAATGGAAATTTTAAATGCACTGACATGCACATGACACACAAATGTTTGCATTCATGGAAAGATGCATACACCCAAGATGTGTGTGTAGCAATTCCCACGTCCATTTGTTTACTCAGTCTGGGTGTGGCTGTGTGTAAAATCTTTTATACCCCCATAGTCATGATGACTATATACTGAGATGCTCTTCTCTCTGCTGTTTTGTTTCTGTTCCTGCTTACATATTAAATATCATTTTCCCTGGTTTCCTTCTGCTCTGCTCACCACCGTCTTAAAATCTCACTATTTTTTTTTTCTGCTCATTTTGCGGGGATGTTCTTAGTCTTAAATAATGGATTTGGCTTTTTTGTGCTTAGAACTACAGCAGTGGTGTGGTACCATACCTGGGCACTTACCTGACAGTCCTCACCATGCTGGACACAGCGTTAAACGACACAGTGGACGTGAGTTCTTTATTTGTTTGCCTTTATGGCACTTCAGTGGATCTATTATCCAATATAACTCAGGTTGTTTATTTTTCCCTCTTTTGTTCACAGGGTGGCCTCATAAACTTTGAGAAACGCAGACGGGTAGGTGTCGCCTCCTAGTGGTGTCTTGCATAAATTACTGACAGATTTCTATATGCCGCCTTGTTCTTTCTGTTCTATATGTTAACCTCTGCTGTATTTTATTGTTTCCTTTATAGGAATTTGAGATTCTCTCTCAGATTCGGCAGCTTCAAGCTTCTTGTTCCCACTACAGTTTTCCAGTCAACCCTCGTGTCGCCGCCTGGCTGCAGACGCACACGCTGCTCACAGACCAGGAGAGGTGAGACTCACACTAAACCCCTTCATATACATTATGAAGTAGGTTTTGGTGAAGTCCATCATGCCTTATTTTATTTGTTTTTGTCTGTTGTAGCTATGAACTCTCTCGTGGACTGGAGCCTCCAGCTGACCTCTGCCCCAGCTCTCCCAACACATGGAGCAGTTATCTGCTCACAAGGAAGCTCGCCGCGTAAGTTTAAAGTCTGTCAGTTTATTTTTAGGTGCTTTAGAGGTTACAATTTTAGTTAATTGAACATTATTTAGTTAAGGCGGGTGTTCATTTCTGACTCCATAACTTTCGAATGTCATCCTTATTTATCTTTCACACGACCAGTCAGTCGTTTTAATGCCGGTGGAGGAGGCTTCATGGGAGCCAAGAGCAGAACAAGAGATCTGATGTAGAGCATGTAGATCAGTCTGCAGTCTGAGATTTTGTCTCACAGAGATCACTTGTATATACTTTGGCCTCATGATTTGAAGTGTTGGTCATGTTTAACATGAGTATCCACTTTTGCTACACTATAAATATGACACAAAATTAGGAAAATCATAATAGCCACTCTTTAAATTCTGTTTATACCTTTTTGAGTCAGTTGAATGAAAGCTGTAAGTGTTAAAGTGCTCAACTCAAATTGCATTTGCAGGTTGAGAACATCTGTCGACACTCCCGTCAGGAAGACCCACGCTGACCAGATCAGTGTGTCGTCTTCTGGCTCGAGCGGTTCAGACATGGAGGACCTGTCTGTGCCTCAGCTCTCCCCCCTCAGACTCAAACTAAAGGTTTGAAACCTCCACACTCCTGTATATAGTCAGACAGTATAACGGTTACCGGGGACAAATGTCGTATTCATATTCTTTCCTCGTCTCTCTCCCCTCAGTCGTTCTCGGGCTCCCTTCACAACGTCACAGAAGGCACCTCCTCCGGGTCCTCCTCCCCATCCCTGTCTAGATCCTCCTGCAGCTCCTCACATCCAGACCTCACATCCCCCTCTCTGGTGCTAAACCCAGACCCATCATCCTCATCATCATCCAGCTGCTCTCCTCAGGCGCTGCCTGTTTACAACAAACAGGTTGCTGACTCGTGTATCATCAGAGTCAGTGTGGAGTGTGTCAGCAATGGAAACGTCTATAAGAGCATAGTGGTACGTCTGGTGATCTGGTATATCTGCTCTTTAAAGGTCAGCTAGAATGTTTTTGGCAAACTTTGTTCTAAAATAGGAAACTAGAAGAGTAGTGTCGGGATTACATGATGAACTTTCTTGTCCCCCTTTGTGTTGACGGAAAACGTTAGGTGTGTTTTTAGCTTCATTTTAAGGTGACAGCTCAACGCAACGTTCAAATTTCAAATGCATCAATGCAGATGTGAAGTGTTGACTCTGTTATTTCCTCTCCAGCTGACCAGTCAGGAGCACACACCTCAGGTGATTCAGAGAGCTCTTGAAAAGCACAACATGGAGGACTTCAGTTGCAGTGACTTCGGCCTCTACCAGGTGCTCAAAAACGGAAAAGGTGAATATCCCTGCTTCACACTTCAATTCAAACAGTCTGAACATTTGAGTGCTGGTGTAACCTGCTCAGAACAGAATGAACCTTTATCAGTGAGGACTCCCAAACTGTGTGTCTCCTCTGCTTTTAGCTGTTTGCAAAAACACAAGAGTATCTTCTAAAGAGTAAATAAATCATGAAATGTGACCTTAAACTGTGCACTGCATTAACTAGATAAACGATATACCAATATTTAATTGCTGAAAGCAGGAAACATTTTCACTTGTGCAATAATATGTTTCACCATCAGTCTGCAGCTTTCCATAAATTAAAATGCAAATCAGCCTCAGCACAAGATGACATATATATATATTCGAACTCCTGCTCTTGTAATATTTTAATAGCTTTTAATTTCTTAAATAGACTTGAAGGGCAGACATTATAAGAAATTTGTTTCTGCATTAGTCTTGCAAATGGAGAAAACTAAATGGTACTTTACTTCTCTTCTTGCCACAGAGCTCCAGATACCCGACAAAGCCAACGTGTTTTATGCAATGTGTCCCACTGCCAACTATGACTTTGTCCTGCGCCAGCGCTGGAGGAGCCACGGGAGAAATTTTGGCTCTTCAACCAGCCCTGGAGCTCTGCCCAGGTGGCGCCGTGGAAGGTGAAAAGTATTCGGTCTGAATGAAAGAATCGAAGGACACTTTTTTTTAGAGCGAGAGTGGAGCTGTTCATCTGCACCAGCCACTTCAAGACACGTCTGTGGCTGTTTGCATCTACTCATCAAGATGAGATTGTTACTATGCAGCAGCAGACGAGAGCAGAGATTCCCAGACTTCGACTGAAACATAACCCGGAGAAGTTCTCATCGAAGCTTAATATTCATCAGGAGCAGCACTGGAACAAAAGCGATCCCGTGCTCCTTGAAAAAGTTTGAAGGAAATATTCAGACATACATAAGACTGAATGCAAAAAATAATCTGAGTAACAAAAAGTGCAATCTCACCAAGGATTGGTGCGACGAAGAACTCTTCAGCTTTCACCGCAGGAGATAACACATATCAGGATCAGCTGGTCTTACAAAGCAGTCCTGTGTCATGGCCCAAAATTAACTTGCTGTGTGGCTTCTGTCTGCGACCAGTTTAGCACACATGACACTTTTCTCTCAGCCTGTTCGGCTGCGTGAGCAACAGGGGCTGCTGTCTTTCACAAACCCGACAGAACAAATGGAAGAACAGCGAGTCAGGATGATTAAATATGAGATGTTCGCTCTCAGATGATGAGCACAGATTCCCAAACAGATCGAGGTTGAATTTTACTCATGCTGAGTGCATTGGATGGAGTGAAGCTCTGTTTAGACCAACACCTACTGACCCTGATGCGGACGTGTCCGCAACAAGTATTCATTTGTTTTGTAGTAAATGATTTCAATATTTTAATGTAACTTAATGAAATCTTGTCATTTAAAATTATTTATAGTGTTTCAGTATTCAGCTTTTAGAGCTACGGTGATGTAGTAAAAACGTGTCTGTATGTTTTTTCATGTTTTCTAGTCTTTGATGAAGTGCTGTAGAAATCATGTTAACATTTAGTTCTCATAAGCTCAACTCAGTTTTGTATCTGTTTGATCAAAGAAAGCTATTTCTCTTTTCTTTTTCTATGTTTCTTTTTTAAATTTGCCACGGTGAAATGAAGGACTCTTTTTAAGTAAGATAATATGCACATTATGTATGTTTATATAGTCTGTGGCCTTGCCTGGATTGTGGCATTTGTTTTAAGTTTTAATGCTTACATGGGACATCACACAGATCATTTTCCCCTACCCAAACTGTTATTCAGGTGCCGCTTATGGTCACTAATGTCTGTAATCTGGGGTAATTATAGACCACCAGGCCTACTATAATAAGTCAGTTTGCATGCATCGCTGTGCATGAAATTAATCTGAAAAATGGTTCTCGTATGTGAAAATAAGGATGAACTAGCATGTGAGTTAAATTAGCAGGTTAGAGCTACTCTGTGAGGCTAATCCTCCTGAAAACTACCAGCCAGAGTTTTTTTTATGCATCTAAGATGAAAATTGAAGTCAAGTTCAAAAATGTTCAGTCACTGAACGACATAAAATATTTTTTGTTTTGTTTTTTAGCTTTTGCTAACTTTTGCACACTGGTGGATTGTTTTTTGCAGGATTTTGTATCACCCATTCACTTTAAAGCTTCTATGATCGGGTTAAAAAAAATCAAGTGAAAAGTTGGTAACAAAAGGAGTGGCAGCTGCATGAAATGAAGGAAATGAATTAGCAGGTTTTCATCTTTGTTTGTTTTTTTGCACATCAGAAGTTCTGTATGAACATTTTTTAAACACTTTATTTCAACAGATTCTTTATTTAAGTTTCATCTAAGCATTTACTCATAATAACTGATGTTAAATGTTTAGTAATAAAATGATTTTTGTCATAGTGACACTGTAATCAGTTGTTTTAATTTATTCCATTTTTAATGGTGCGACTTCCTTGAACACAGAAGAAATGATACACTCGTATCAGACTTTATTCACGGCAGAGAGAATTTGGTCCATATTGAAATGACGACATCACACAGTTACTGTAGATTTCCCGTTTCACCGCTTCTCACAGGTGTTATATTGGATTGAGATCTGGTGACTGTGGAGGCCATGAACTAATAGTCATCTTCAAGAAATCAGTTGGAGATGATCAGTTGGAGTTTCATGATGTGGCACATTATCCAGCTCACAGGAGCCACGAGTGGATAGGCACACTGTGATCAAAAGGAGACAGATATCATCAGCAGTAATACTCAGCTAGGCTGTGGCATTTAAACAATGTGCAACTGAACAAAGAGGCGAGAAGTGTGCCAAGAAAATATTGTCCACACCATTAAACCACCACCACTGGCCAAAACAAATGGCAAAAGGTAGGAAAGAGACGTGTTTTCAAGTTGTTCACAGCAAACTCTGACCTTCCATCGGGCTGTTGCAGCAAAAATCAAGACTCATCAGACCAGACAACATTTTTCCAATTTGCTATTGTCCAGTTTTGGTGTGTCCATGTAAATTGCAACCTCAGTTCTTAGCTGTGGTATGTGGTCTTCTGCTGCTATAACCCATCAGCTTTGAGCTTCACAAAATGTATTCATTCAGTGATGCTTTTCTGCATACACTGGTTGTAAAGACAGATTACTTAAGTTACTGTTGCCTCCCTGTAAGC